GGAGGGAGGGAGGAAGGGAGGGAGATGGTAGAGGCCAGAAGTGGTGAAACATACTAGATGAGGAAGGAAGATCGATATGCAAACATGAGGCCAGCCTGAGCTACAAAGCAAGACTCCATCTCAAAACTAAAAAGGAAAGGTTGTGGAAATATTCCAGGAAAAAAGAAACTTTTAAAGAGAAATAATTAAATGTAATACCTGATTTCAGGTTGGAACTCCATACACAAAGTACATGAAACTCTCTAAGAGTCATTAGCAGGTCAAGAGATAAAACAGGAATATGGACAAGTTTATGACAATGTACATTTATGAAATTCTTAATTGTACAAGTTATATAATTACCCTATTTTTTATAAACATAATAGAAGTTCTATAAGAAAAAAAAGCACAGAATGTGTAACTTATCCTCAAATCATTCAGAAAAGTGTATATAGCCAGGCATGGTGGTACATAACTATAGTCCTAGTACTCTGGAAGATGGACACAGAAAGATCATAAATTAGGGCCCCACCTGGGCAATTTAGGAAGATTGTATCACAAAATTAAAGGCGGGCACTGTGGATGTAGCTCAGTACAAAGGCCATGTATTCAATTCCCAGTACCTCTACCAAAAAGAGTAAGTGCATAAGAGGAGAGGAGAGCAGAGAGAGAGGGAGGGTTGGAGGGAGAGAAAGGGAGAAAACAAAAGAACAATCAAGTAGCACAAGTGAGGAGGAGCAAGGATATTTAGATGTTGTTTAAACTGTATTTTTGTAAATAAAATTTTAATCCCAAATAAAGGGTTTTTTCCTAATAAAAAATTATCAAGAACTGGGAGTGGTACACACCTGTAATTCTAGCACTTGGGAGGCTGAGGCAGGAGGAATGCTGCTAGTTCAAGGTCAGCCTGGGCTACACAGTGAGTTCAGAGTCAGACTGAACTACAAAGGGAGACCCCTCCCAAAAAAGCAAAATATCGAGATAGTTCTCTGCTATATTCAAAACATCAGGACAGAATGGGTACATATCTTAAAAGAATTAAGAGATTTTTTGTAGGGAAACTGCAAAAGCTAAGGCTAGTAGCTTAGACAGATTTCCAAATAAAGAACCACTTCAAATGTCAGAGAAGGGACTTTGTAACTTAGCACCACAACTCCCAGCCCCCTATCCTGTGCTGGGGATCAAAACCAGGGCCTAATGTGTGCTCGGCAAGCACTCTATCATTGAACTTAAACCCCTGGCCCCATACTGCTCTGTTTTATTATGTTTTGTAAGCCAGGGAAAAGGATATATTTAAGAAAATCTACTAGTAAAATTATACATGGGCAGAAAACAATAGATAAGGAAGCAGTAAAGGGACATAGAGAAATACAGGCATGATTATGGGGTCTTAATCTAGAAGAAGCTAAAATTAGAAACAGAAAGTGGAACAAATCCAAAAGACAGGAAAAGTAGCAAACCAGATAATTCCTGTTTACTAAATGTATTATCAAAAAGGAGTAGAATTCAGAGTAGACAGATTTCCAAACTATTTAATAAAAAAAAAAAAAGATGGTATTAACAAAAAGAAATTCAACTAGCTAGGCAAAACAAAACTACTATCTCATGTTTCAATTTTTTCTATTCTTATTTTCCCTATTGTGATGCAATATTAAAAGCTAAGAAAGGGGTTGGTGAAATGTTATTTGCCAGCACAAACAATATGGGAGAATTAGTCTTCACATATCAAGTAGCAAATATGAGCTTATTACTGATTCACATTTTGATTAAATACCCTTCAAATATATCTACACATATTAAGATTTTGTCTTCCCCCTAAAAATTATGTTTATGAATCAACACACATATGTACAAGTATAAACCTACATCTTTGCCTGAATATTCCAATTATTCGCTCAACTTACATTCCTTGAAGAAAAAAACATCAAGCACAAAATAAGTTTTAAAAAAATCATAAAGAAGTGGGTAGTATTTTCCGAAGGATGGAGTCAAAAAATTACAAAGTATCAAGTCAAAGTAAAACTAAATTAATTACCTGGTTAACCAGTAAAATGATGTTCCAGTAGAGTTTGTTTTTAACAGTCTCTGAGTCCACTGTTTAGCAAGTATTTCGATCCTGAAGACAAAAAAAAAAAAAAATAGGGAAATTGAATGTCATTGTCCTTTGGTCACACACCCATTAGCAGTCAAACACAAATTAACTGTTCCCATTCTCACCATTCCCTGAACACAGGAAACAAAATTAAAGCTGCCAAGTACAATGCCTCCTCCTACAAATTTCAGCAAATGCCTTACTTTGCCATACCTCAAATATTGCTGCTTAAAAAGAAGTCAGGCATGGCATACACAATACACACAGTTTGTAAACCTGGATAATGTCAAATGGGGAGAAAGATAATGCTCCAAAGCATAAATAGTAATCAAAACAGATGGGCACTCTAAACTCGGAGATGTTCTCACAGGTCCAAATTGAATGCTTGGTGAACAAAGACATTAATACCCCAGTAGAAGCTAATAATTGATACTACAGACCAAAAAAAAAAAAATCAGAATCCACCATATGCAGGAAAGGATGGAGGGAGAAATAAAGCAAACATGCAAGTGGGAAAATGTTGCAAAAGTTTTCTTGCACTATGTAAGAGGATGCATCTTGGTCACCAAAATGAAAGATATTAATGGTAAAATTAGGAGCAATGTCTCAAAATATACAATACATCAGCATATAAACAGGCTTTCGAAGAGAAAGAAAAGGGGAGTGGTTTCTAGTGTGACAAAGAAGTGAGTCCAAAAAGACCTTGCATCTCCTTATGAATTTCCAAATATAACAATAAAACCAACAATCTAAATGCCATTTTCTAGTACTATCTATATCAATATAACTGCAACCACCTCATGGTCTGAAGCCAATTAATAAGCATTCACACTAGAACTGACAGGTCTGGTGGGATCCAGGTCAGAAAAAAATGATACATTCATAAATTGCAAGTAACAAACATTATAGCATGTTCAAAAGTCAGGGAGTTCAGAGGGGACTGCCAACTACAATCTAGCTACATGGTTTGAATGGTTGTTACCTTTTGAGGTCCAAAATTAAAGGGGGTTAAAAGAAGGAACACATCGTATGTAACAATACAACCAGCTATTAAAATAAGTTAAAAGTGGTGGGGGGGAGTTAAAGAGTACAGACTTCAGAGTCACCCAGATGGAGTCTCAAATCCCAACTAGCTGGGCAACCCTGGTCAATTTAGGACTTCAACGCCTTAATATTTTAAGCGGGGGAGTGCAAAGGTATAATATTTCATAAGGATCTTGTGAGGCTTAAATGAAAATATACAAATCACTTATTAACAATTAGCACATAAAATAAGCAATTACCAACTAAAGACTGACACATAAGAATATCCAAGCACACTAAAACAAAAATTTTAAAACAGGAAAAAACACAATCACTAGTGTTTGTTTGCAAATGAGTTCAATGTTGTTGTTTTTTGGTTTTTATTGTTTTATACAGGGAATACAACTCAGGACCTTCTGCTTATGAGGCAGGCCCAGAGTCACTGAGCTAAGTTCCCACCAAGTTCAATGTTTTTGAACTTGAATTTCTAAACTGTCCTAATTAATTAAAAGATGATGAGGGAAAAAAAGATTTTTAAGTGAAGCACTTTAAAAATTAGAGACTCTTCACAAAAAATCCCCACCACGTTAGTAGAGTATAAAGACAGTTGTTCTTAGAGACAGCTAGCCAGCTTAGGGGTCTCATAGAGACTGATAATTGGCAGAGATATTTCCCAAATTCAACGTTTGATAAAATTCACACTAAAATAAACTGACAATGAAACAAAAAAGAAGATGAGGAAGATGGGAGGAGATAGAAAAAATTTCTGGAAAGAATTTCTAAGGGTTTTGGTTTTGTTGTGTTTTTTGAGACAGTCTTTTTCAGGCTGGCCTTGAAATCACTATGTAGCACAGGCTGGCCTCTAACTCAAAGAGATCCTCCTGCTTCATCTTCCTAAGTGCTGGGATTACAGGTGTATTTCACCATACCTTCCACTAAGGTTTTTTGGCCCTGGTTTTAAACCAGGTTTCACTTCAGAAATGGTTCTTTTATTGTTGTTCTCTTTTTTAGATGGGCAGAAGGAAGGATTGTGGAGCAAGTAGTACCTAAGGAACAAGAGAAATGGGGTAAAGAATTAAGCCAGAAAGTAAATAGGACCATAACAACTGACCCAACAAATACTGTTGCCTAGTGTGGAAGGTTAGTGAGAGAGCACCTAGGTTTATACTGAAGTATCATACACCTATTTTCATACCCTTTCTCAAAGGACTGATGACCCTACAAATCTGTATCCCCAAACCAAAGACATGGCATCTGTAAAATTCTCCTCTCTCAGAAGTATACACCTAACTACAGAGATTCCTAAATACTCATACATCAATGACTCTTTTATCTATGAGGAACCTGGGAGCGGGGTGGGTGGTTTAAGAACTACTGCTATATATTGGGATCCTATAAAGTATGGAATTGTTGGGAAAACTGCTGGTGAAGTTAAGCTTGTCTGGAACAAAGATTCTGCAAAAGCAACAACCCCAACACATTTCTTAGGATGTTTTTTGTACCTTTAACCAAAAAACCAAAAATTGTTTTTACCCCTTTTTCATAATTTGGACTTTAGTCAGTCATACATAAAAGAAACAAATTACACTGACATAAAAACTGAATATGAGACTTTCTAAAATATAGGTACCTGCCAGGGATTTAGCTCAGTGGCACCTTGCAAGTAAGTGCAAGGTCCCAAATTCAATCCCTGGTACAGCAAAAAAAAAAAAAAAAAAAAAAAAGCCTTTTTTGAAAAAAAAAAAAAAAAAAAAAAAAAAAGGCACTTGTTAAAGTATGGGGGGCCTGCTAAAAGGTAACTGATGAGAGACCTATGTCACCAAAACCTGCATCTGCAGAGCTAGTTGGGGTGGGGAGGGGCAAGTTGACCTGTGTAATAGTTTGAGATGTACCTTGAGGACTGAACAAAGATTCAAACGGGGAGGGAAGTTCACAGAAGAGTATCCAAACTATAAAATGCTGATGTCTGGAAATGCCAACAGGAAGGACCCCTCCCGCCCAAAAAAGCCAGTTTTCCTTCCCTGTTGAACACAGAAGAGAGCAAGAGGGCAACTACTCCACCACGCACACTACACACCCTGTTCTTTCTATGCAGCTGATGGCATTGTTCAGGACTCCTTTTCATTTCCTAATATCCACAGACCTGGGACCAGTCTTTACAGAAACAGCAACTGCCCACCAATCTTCAAAGCACTACTATTCGGTTCACCAATTAACATTCAGGTTACTTAAAGGCTGCAAAAGATCTGTTAAATATACTGTCCTTTCATAGTTGACGTCAGTTATCAAGTGGTAAATATCCTTTATTGAAATCACAACAATTTCACTTGCAGTAATAATCAACTGCAACTAATCTGAAGCTACACTATGAGGGCAAAAATGGACAAGGTGTGAATTTTAAATCAAAAAAATTTAAAATTGTAAGACTCCACTTATTTATGTATATGCACTAAAATTCAGTAAAAACTTTAACTGTTTATTTCATAGCCCACTAATGTTCAAATAATTTAGAACTTATTTGCTAGCCAGGAAAACATGGCAGGATACTGATTACAAATCTTTTTTGGGGAGTGGGGTTTGAGTCAGAGGTTCTTGCCATGTAGTAGGCCAGCGTTGAACCTGGTATCTAGCACAGGATGGCCTCCAACTCCCAATCCTCCTGCCTCAGACTCCCGAGTATACAGGCACATATGCCACCACTCCCAGTTCTACAAACGTTTAAAAATACTATAATATTTTTGATAAAAAGAAACTGTTGCAATACAAGCATGCCTAGAAAAATAAGGACATTTAAAAAATTGATACCCTTATCCTACTCTACAATCAAGCTAACATAACTTAACACAGTTACTTAATAAATTATAACACATTTAATTTTCAATGGAGTCCACCTGAAAATTTCTAAATGATTCAATGAAAACAGAAGCCATGGCCTCAGAAAACCTAGGTTATTTTTTGTTTGTTTGTTTTTGAGACAAGTTCTAACTATGTAGCCTAGGCTGGCCTCGAAGTCACAGCGATCCTCCTGCCTCAGCCTCCTGATTGCTGGGATTACAGGTGTGCACCACCACACCTGGCAGAAAACTTAGGTTTTATAAAGCTTCTTGAGGTAACCTTATACAAGTCATTTAATTTACTAGATGCCTGCACTCACACTTGGAAAAAGGAGAAACTTATGTTTGGTTCCTGCCATTAGTAAGGAAAGAAGAGCAGATATAAACAGTCCCTACTGTTCCTGAAAACAATGTTCAGAGAAAGCATTTGTTGAAAATCAGTAACACCGAATTATAGCCAAAAAAAATAAAAGAAACCAAATCGACAAACAGGGTCCTATGACACACTATATTACAGAAAATAAAGAAAAACTGACCTTTTTCAAAGAAAGTAAGATCAATCTAAAACCATTTATCTCATCAAAAAATTTTAAAATTAATGAAATGTCTCCAATTATTCCCAGAATTAACATAACCAAAATGCCACGAGTTTATGATAAAAGGCAAAGCAGAAAAAAGAACTGTAAAATACTGGCCATTTATGTAAAACTTACACGATACACAAAACAAGGGGGTACTGAAAGTGGAAACCATGTTTAACTGAACATGTCTAAGAAATTATGCCACACATTTTGCTTTCCTGATATTACCCACTATTTACAGCATTAAACAATTCTGCGTTTTTTTAATCACTATGGTTAAGGAGAAAACTAAAAAATCTAGTTGACTAACCAGTTTATTAAAAGACCCATGTCTCTAAATTAGTAAAGACTCAGTTACCAAACAGGCAGCCAGCAAGCAGCTTGCTGGTGCTTGTTCTGCCTCCCTCTTCCTCATCTCTTGGAAAAACTGCAGGCAGTGCTGCACGATCTCACTCACAAAATAAATACAGGAAAGAGGATCGGAGGGTTGGGTGGGGAGGTGAGCAAAGCTCTGGGCTCCACCAGGGAAAAGCCGTTCCACAAGAATTGCTACAGGGTCAAAAGTTTACAGTGGTTTCAATTTCAC